CCCCCCCCCCCCCCCCCCCCGCTTTTTTAAACACTCTGATGAGCAAATCCCCATCGAGGGTGAAACGGTCAGGAGCTGCCGACCCTTCTGAGCGGACGCTCAGCCCCGCCCCGGGTCCTCCGTCTTCCCTGAGGAGAGCCTTTGACCCTGGCTCCCCCTAGTCGGGGAGTGACCATCCTGCCAGCCCGCCACCACCCACCCCAACGGGGGCTGCGGCCCTCGGAGCAGAGAGGACGGGCTGGCCCGAAACACCGCCGCGGGGCTTTCTTTAGAAAAGCTAGACTTTAATTACTCAGATAGTTTTACAATGAAAACAGGTACCAGAAGACCGGTCTCAAGGCTCACAACCGTACAAAAGACAAATACAAAAGCTGCGGGCGGTGAGCGCGGCCCGCATCTCCCGCCCTGGGGTACTCGGCAGCCCTACCTCACCCTGTCCACCGCGCCAGGCGTCCCTTTGGTCCCCTCAACCTCGGGGGGCGGGGAGAGCGTCGCACTAGCAAGGAAAAGCCCTCCTTCGTGGTCAGTGGAATTTAAGAAAAAATAAAAAAGATAAAAGTCTAATAAGCAGAGCTGTCGCTAAAATGCGGAAGTTATAACTTTTCTGGTTAACTTGAACATTCGAAAATGTAATATTGAATCCAAAAAAGTATCCGAAATCACACAAAAGGTAACCCATAGTAAAATTTAAAAAACGAGTCCAGAACACCCCCGAGAAATGAACCTAAAGCTTTAGCGGGCTGGGGCCCGGTGGAGCCCGAGGGGCGGCCGTCCCGCCAAGCCCCACGGCGGAGGCCAGCACGGGCGGCGGGCGGCCCCTAGGACACGTTGGCCATGGGCTTGTACTTCTTGAAGCGCGTCCACTGGCCTGTGGCGTAGTTCATCTCGAACACGGTGTCCACCAGCATGGTGGTGCTGCCCTGGCCGTCCGACTTGGGCAGGTCCTCCGTGTGCTCGCTGAGCTTGATCTGGATCACGTCGCCCTGCTCCTGGCACGGGTTCTCTGCGGAGGGCAGGGGCTGCTGGGCGGGGCACCGGGGACTGAGGAGCCCGTCCCCCCGCCCCTCCCGGGGCCCCCGTCCCCCTGCCCGCCCCCCCTCCCCCCTCCCCCCGGGGCCAGCCACGCACACCTACCTCGGGAGCCGGCCATGAAGCCCAGGATGAGGGCCTTCTCCGGCCGTGTGACTTTGTTGGCCGTCTTGAACATCTCCTGCGCAGCAAACATCTGCTCTCTCTGCAAGCGTGGACAGGGGTGTGGGTATCCGGGCACTGCGGGTGCCCCCACTGCAGCTGTGGGCGGGCAAGGCCTCAGCCCGCCCAGGGCACACCTACCGTGAGGGACAGGTTCTTCTTGGGCTGCTGCTGCTGCTGCTGGGCGGGGGGCTGGGTCTGTGGGGCCACCATGGCCACGGGAGGCGTCTGGGCGGCCGGGGTGACGGCCGGGGGTGTGGTGGGCGTCAGGGGAGAGGTGGGCGTTGAGGGTGTGGATGCGGCAGGACTCGGGCCGCTGTTGTACATGGGTGCCCTCTGCTTGAACTGTGCTGGCAGCGCAGGGCTTGGGGCACTGGGCTCCTCAGGCGGCCGGCTGGCCTGCAGGCCAGCCTCCCGAGAAGATGGTGCTGTAAGCAGAATGCGGTCTGGTGAGGGGGCGGGGGAAGGAAGGGGAGACAGGGACCCCCCCCCCCCCCCCCCCCCCCCCCTCCCCCCCGGCCCTTGAGCTCTCCTGGGCTCCACTGCCCCTAGAACAAGGGGACGGGTCCTGCTCCACCTCCCAGGCCCTGACTGCTAGACCCCGTCCTGCCTCTGAGTCCCCAGTGGGAGGCCGTCTGGCGGAAGCTGGGGCCTGAGCCTGAACCACCGGCAGCACCTCTGGGCCCCGCAGGAGCAGGGAGTCTCAGGCTCTTCCAGACGGCAGATGAGATGTCCAGGCCTGGCCCAGGCCCAGCCCCCGCCCCGCCCCCCCCCCCCCCCCCCTCCCCGCCACGGCCCCGGTAACGCAGGAAGGCAGCCTCCTCCAGCCCAACAGGGCTGCTGGCCCCCCATGGCCCTCTCTGGCCACTTCCGCTCCCGGAGGGCAAAGCTAAGCCCAGTGACGCCAGAGCCCCAGAGTCAAGTCCATTACCCTGGGTCCACCTTTTTGTCAGAAATTCTGTGACTGCGAGGGGATCCCTGGACCCTATCTTGACGTCAGCTGGGCAACCCCCTCCCCCTCCTCCAGCACCCCCACTCCCCACTGGGCCCTACAAAGGGGCCTCCAGAAAGGACAGAGCAGGTGAAAACTTGGGGATTGCTCCAGCACAGATGTCCTGCCGCCCAGGGAAGCGCCACGTGAGCAAGGGAGGATCTGCTCCCTCCCCAGCGGGCAGCAGTCCCGGTGGGTGCTGGGGAGGGGTCTGGAGAAGGCTGAGCCGGACACCTGCCCGCTCACCTGGTGGGGTCTCGGAGCTGGGGATGTAGGACGAGGCCGGGACCACGCTGGGGGTGGCAGGCAGGTAGCTCGTGGAGGGCAGCGCAGGCTCGTTGTTCAAGGATCCGAGTTTCTGGAACAGATTTTATTACGATCCCTCCCAGAAGAGACCCAGGGCTCAGTGCTTCCCCTGGACGCTGGCCTGTGCTGGCTCCCCTGTGAGCCTCAGACTCAATCCTCCACCCCCACGGGAGGCACTCCCAACCCTGGGGCAGGACGGCGGGCATTGTTCTCCTCAGCCCCTGTCTGGACCTGCCTCATGGGGGGGGGGGGGGGGGGGGGGGCTTCCCAAACCAGCCAGCCAGGAGGAGAGAAAACACCACTCTGCAGTGGAAGGAAACTGGGCCATTACCCGGAAGCAAGCCATGCTCACAAGGCCTTTCTCCAGCCCTTGCCCGTGGCCCCATCCCCACGAGCTGCGTGGGGATGGTCTGCACAGACGAGAATCCGAGAAGCAGGCTATGCTTGCCCGCTGACCCCCTCCACTGTGGGCGGGACTGAGGCCCCAAAGACAGGTCCCCACTAGAGAGGGGAAACCAAGGCCTAGAGGTGAGGAGACTCACCACAGAGTCCCCCGGAGAGCACACGTGGGACGCGCACACACAGCCCTAGTGCAACGCCTCTCGCACCCGTATCCACACACACACACACACACACACACACACACACACACACACACACTCCCCACAGGGCACACTGTGTGGCTAACCACATGTCGGCCGCGTGAGGAGCTGGGGGAAGATGGGTGGTTGTGGAAGGCGCCCCTGCAGCGCCCAGGCCCCACCTGTGTGGACACCAGGCCGGCCGCGTAATCTGGGGTGGCGTTCTCCACGACAGTCTCCTCCTTGGCTGGCTTTTCCACCACTTCCGCATCTGCTGACAAAACAGAGTCCTTGCCAGTGGCCCCGACTGCGCGCACCCCACGAGCGGGCCCGGCGGGCCCCCGGGGTGCAATCCCGAACCGCCACACTGAACGTGTGCTTCAAACACGGTCTCCAGGCAAAGAACAAAGTGAGCTCATTTTCCAGAAGTCCTGCCCCGTATGATCACCGCGCCCCAGTTGAGGACCTAGCGTCAAGACAAAAGCCACCGGCGGGACGAGTCACCGGGAGAGGGACCGGCCGGGAAGCGCAGCCCCCAGGTGGACTGCAGCCCAGACCCACCCCGATGCCTGACCCCCGGCTCCCCGACCGAGCGCCCGGCGGAGGGCAGCCCAGACCCCGTAGGGAGCCCCGTGTACACACCCAGCGTCTTCCTCCTCCTCTTTGCCTCTCGGCCGGCTCCCACCATGTCCAGCTCAGAAATGTCGAGCAGCTGTCAAAACAGACAGAAGCCGGCCCTTACCCGCGGTGTGAGGGACACCGAGGCCGGTCTCGTGAGGCCGCGGATACCAGAGGGGAAGTGCCTACCTTCACGCCCCTCTCCTTCCGCAGGGGGGTCCTCGAAGGCGGGATGGGGGTCCGGTTCCCGGCGGGGCCGAAGACACTGGGGGTGGTGGGGCTTCTGAAGGGCGCCTGCTTCGGGATGCCTTTGAGTGGGGCTGCAAAGAGGTGGGGACCTCAGGGACTGGCCTGTCTCCTGCCACTCTCATGCTTCCCTCTGAGGAGCGAGGCCACCCTGCCAGCACACCGCCCGCTTCACCGGCCCCGTGACACCGTGCGCGAGCCCAGCGGGTGCAACCCCGATTCCCACGGACCGCCCTGTCTCTGCGAGGGTGGGTGGAGGCGACATCACCAGTACACCTGCGACCCTGGGCGACCCTCTCCTGGTGGCCAAGGGCTCAGGCGTCGAGTCTGAGGGCAAGGCCATAGGAAGCAATGGCATCACAGCCAACCTAGGATATTGTTGCCAAAGCACGAACAAAAACAGACACCGTGTCTGCAGCCATCCGTGCTAACACAGCGAGCTTCCGACGGCACGGACGCGACTTCTACCCACGCTCCCTTCTTGTACCTCCCAGCAAACTGACCGTGAAAGGCTAGATACGCACACACTGCAGCCACAATCACCCTCCCTCCCTCCCTCCCACCTTCCTCCCTCCCTCTCTTCCTTCCTTCCTTCCTTCCTCCTTCCCTCCCTCCCTTCCTCCTCAAGTTGGTCCTAACTGTGTCAAAAAGAAGTCACCTGACACACAGCGACCTTCCCTTTCAAGCAGGGCCTGCCCCCCCCACCACTGGGCATCTAGCACCTCCCCACTCTCGCCCCCGGGACCCCATCTCCATGCTCAGCCCGCAGGCCTGCTCCTGCTCAGGTCTCACCCCGTGAGCCAGGCCCAGGGCACACGCAGCCTCTGGCCAGCACTGCCCTCAGGACACGTTGCTGGGGCGTGGAGAACCTGAGAGCTTTCTCCGGTGAGCGGGGTGGGCGGGCCTCTAGAAGGGACCCCGCCAGGCTTCCCTGTCAGCTCCAACAGGGTGCCCTCTGTT